TATTATTACACGCCTATCTCAAGAAAGAAAAAAAAATCCAAATAAACAATTTAACATTACACCTTAAAGATCTAGAAAGAGAAGAATAAAAGCAACCCAAAGTCAGAAAAAAAAGGAAGTAATAAAAATTAGAGCAGAATTGAATGAAATAGAGAACAAAAAGACTACATAAAAATTAATAAAACAAAGATCTGGTTCCTTGAAAAGATTAATAAAATTGACAACCCCCTGGCTAGGCGCACTAAGGAATAGAGAGAAAAGGCCCATGTAGACAAAATCAGAAATAAAAGAGATGTTTCCACAGACACCACAGACATACGAAGGATCATACTAGAATACTACGAAAGACTATAGGCCACCAAATTCAATAACCTAGAACAAATCGATAAGTTCCTAGAAATATGTAACCTTCCTAGGCTAAATCATGAAAAATTGGAAAGTCTAAATAGACTGATCAGCAATGAGGAAATTAAAACAACCATCAAAACCTCCCCCAAAATAAAAGTCCAGTACCAGACTAATTCGCCACTGAATTCCACCAAACATTCAAAGAAGATTTAAAACCATATCCTCTCAAACGCTTCCAAAAAACTCAAGAGACAGTACTTCCTTACTTCTTTTATGAGGCCAGCATAACCCTGATACCAAAATCTGATGAGGATAACACACAAAAAAAGCAAACCACAGACCAATATCTCTGATGAGTACTGATGCAAAAATTCTAAACAAAATATTAGCATATCAAATACAACAATACATTTTAAAAGAACACATCGTGATCAAGTGGGGCTCGTTCCTGGGGCACAAGGATAGTTCAACAAATCAATCAATGTAATACATCACATTAACAAAAGAAAGGATAAAAATCATCTGATCTTATCAGTAAACGCAGAAATAGCATTTGATAAGATACAATATCCATTTATTATTAAAACACTCAATAAAATAGGAAAAGAAGGAAAGTATCTGAACACAATAAAGGCCATAGATCACAAACCCTCAGCCACTATCACACTCAACAGTGAAACACTGAGGCTTTCCCTCCAAAATCAGGAACAAGACAACGATGCCCACTCTCACCATTCTTATTCAATATAGTTCTGGAAGGCTTAGCCAGAATAATAAGGACAGAGAAAAAATAAAAGGCACTTAAATGGGGAAGGAAGAAAGAGTGTCACTTTTTGCAGATGACATGATTCTGTACATAGAAAACCCTAAAGACTCCATCTAAAACTACTAGAAGCAATAAACAAATACAGTAAAGTTACAAGACACAAAATCAATGTACAAAACTCCTCTGCTTTCCTGGAAACTTCAGAAAAAGAAATGAAAAAAAAAATTCCTTTTGCAATTGCAACCAAAAGAATAAAACCTGTTTTTTATTCTTTTAAACTTAAAAAAATGTAAAATCCCTAGATACTGAAAACTATAATGTATTATTAAAAGAGATTGAAAAAGATACAAAAAAATGGAAAGATGTTCCATGTTTATGGATTGACAGAATCAACATAGTTAAAACAACCATATTACCCAAAGCAATACACATATTTAGCATAGTCCCCCTCAAAATCCCAATGTCATTTTTTAAAGAAATAAAACAAAAAATCATCAGACTTATATGAAATCACAAAAGATCCCAAGTAGCCAAAGCAATTCTGAGAAAAGAGAACAAAGCTGGAAGTATCACACTAACTGACTCCAAGTTGTACTGCAGAGCTACGATAATCAAAACAGCATGATACTGGCAGAGAAACACACACAGAGATCAATGGAACAGAACTGAGAAACCAGATATAAGACCACATGTATAAGGACAGGTAATTTTCAACAAAGGAACCGGAAACACACAATGGAGTAAAGAATGCCTCTTCAATAAATGTTGCCAGGAAAATTGGAAAGCCACATGCAAAAGAATAAAGACAGATTACAATTTGTCCCCAAGTACAAAAATTAATTCAAAGTAGATCAAAAACTAATTATAAGATCTGAAACAATAGACTACATAGAAGAAAACGTAAGTGCTAAACTTGACCTTGGTCATCGAGAACATTTTATGAATTTGACCCCTAAAGCAAAAGAAATAAATGCAAAAATTAATGAATGGGATTGTATCAAACTAAAGAGCTTCTTCACAGCAGAAGAAACTGACATGAAAACAAAGAGGCAACCAACTAAATGGAACATGATATTTGCAAACAACAGCTCCAACAAAGGTTTAAAATCCAAAATATATAAACATCTTATAAAACTCAACACCAAACAAACAAACAATCCAATTGAAAAATGGCAGAGGACCTTAACAGATGCCTCTTCCAAGAAGATATACAAATGGCCAATAGATATATGAAAAGATGGGCAACCTCACTAGCTATTAGGGAAATGCAAATCAAAACTTCAATGAGCTACCACCTCACACCTGTTGGAATGGCTGTTATCAACAAGACAAATAATAGCAAGTGTTGGAGAGCTTGTGGAGAAATGAAACCCTAATTCACAGCTGGTGGTAGTGTAGACTGGTATAGCCACTATGGAAAACAGTCTGGCGATTCCTCAAAAAATTAAGAATGAAGTTACCATATGACCCAGCAATCCCTCTCCTGTCTATCTACCCAAAAAACTCAAACACATGTATTCACGAAGACATATGCACACCTCTGTTATTGCAGCATTATTCACAGTGGCCAAGACATAGAGACAACCAACGTTTCCTTTGATGAAGGATTGGCTAAAAACACATGGTACATATTCACAATGGAATACTACTCAGGCATAAGAAAAGATAACATACTGCCATTTGCAACAACGCGGATGAACCTTGAGAATATTGTGCCAAGTGAAATAAGTCAGTCAGAAAACGTTAAGAACCGTACGATTTCACTCACATGTGGGATATAAAACTGAAACTCATGGACACAGACTGCAATGTGGTGGTTGTCAAAGGGAAGGTGGCAAGGGTGGAGGGGGCCTAATATATGGTGACCAAAGATGGTTTGACTGCAGGTGGTGGGCACACAGTGCAACATGCAGGTTTATTATAGAAATGAACGCTGGAAACATATATTATCCTATTAACCAATGACACTCCAATAAATTTAGTTAAAAATTTTATAAAGAAGGTAAAATAGACATATGAAAACAAACTAAAAACAAGATAGCTTTCCACAAACAAATCCTCACTGAAGAAAATTCTAAGGGATGTATCTCAGGAAGAAGGAAAGTGGTCCCGCATGGAATGTGTGAGGTGCAAGATGAAAAGATCCGCTAGTATACAGAGACACATCTGGATAAATCAAACCAATGATGAATAAAGCAATAAAAATAATGCCTGATGTGTGGGGGTTTTGAAAAAGGAGAAAACTAAAAGCCAACACCAACGGCAAGTAAAAGTGCAAAAGAATCTGAAGGTCCTAGTGTCGTTCACAAGGAAGTGAAGGCGGCACTACTCCTGTCCCCCTGGTTAAGTGCTGAAATACTTCTGTACTGATCAGGACAGAGGAATTCTCCATTTTCTTAAGACCACAAGTGACCTGACAACATCACCCGGTGCTGGCCACAGAGGCAAGGAGCAGGGCCTGAGCACGGGAGGCATGGACAGGGCGGCTGAGGCGGCATCTCTGCTCAGCCCCCAGTGCAAGCGGAGGTAGAGTCTGAGCCCACGGGCAGCAGAAGCAGCGTTGTGGCCAGGGGCTGAGGCTCAGGCTGTCCAGTCCAGGCCATGAGAGGCATCAGGTGCACAGCCGGCCAGTGCTGGCTGCCAGAGGCCTGGTGTCTGTCAGCTTAGTGAAAAAGTTAGAGGGACCTGATGCAGTTCCCCTGTGAAATCAGGACTCAGACAGGAACTCTATTTAATTATGATAGAATGATTTATTAAACAATGCCTGTTATAGCTTATACCTTTGTATGCACCTAGATGATATGCACAGTTTACTTAGCAAATAAAGGAGGATATATTTCTAATTATTAACTTAGAGTCATACCACATGATGATGATTTGGTCAACAACAGACCACATATATAATGGTGGTATTCCCTCTAGCCAAGCTGTGCAGTAGGCTACCACCTAGGTTTCTGTACGTTCATTCTCCAAAGTTCACACAATGACAAAATTGCCTAAAACTGCATTTCTCAGAGTGCATCCCATGGTTAAGCATTGTGTGACTGTATAGACGGATATATTGATTTATGGTGTCATTCCAGTACTTACATATATTTAGTGTCACTTCTACATATAGGCACTGATTTACTTTAGACTTTAAACACACACTTTGAAATATTTGAGTCCTCAGTCAAAAACTATATACGTACGTAAGGAGGATAATTCACAAACTAGAAGAATAAATACTGAATATGAAAACTAAACAAGCAAAGAGCTGCCCAGACCCAAGGGTACGCTCATCTGTTGACCCATTGACCCACTGAAGTGAATTTACAGAGGACAGACACTTGGGAGCATCCACTTAGTCAAGTCCTGGCCACACAGCTGGGTCATCGCCTCATGGGGGCGGCAGGTTCCCACGGGAAGACCAAGCTCGAGGCCTGCCCTGACCCGCACAGTGATGGCGGAGGAGGTTCTTCCACCAAAGGAAGAATCTGAAGGGAGGGTGACAGACACTCCACAGTGCACACTACCCATGTACACTCCATCTCCCACTGCAGTTTTTCCTTACTGTTCTCTGCCTGCCAGGAGTCAGGCCTGCAAGCTGCACTCAGCAGACCTCATTGTTAGAGAATCCAGCACAGGTAACCATGGGTCAACACATCCCCCGGATCCAGCACCAGGGGCTGAGTAAAGGTTTAGCCTGAGGGGCTTCCCCTGGTGCTCCCTCTCTAGCGAACCCGTTGCCAGCAGCTGCAGTAAAACCCAGGCCCAGTCCTGCCGGCTCTCTTTGCCGGGTCCCCCAGGGAGGCCGCTGAGCCTGCACCTGAGGCCCACACTGCCCCAGCCAAGCCTGACTCAGCGAGGGCATTAAATCCCTGTTTCTCAAATCCATTCTTTTCAGGAAAAAACGTGGACAAATCCTGGTTCCAAGTGGCCCACATGAAAGAAGAAGGGATAGTCATGGAAAAGCCAGCCAGTGTGGAGCCACACTACATAGTCCTGGAGGACCCCAGCTTCTCCCTCCTGGGAGTCGTACTGAGACCTATCCGGGCTGTCCTGCCCATTCCCATCAGGTCCAATGTGTTGCTCTACCATCACCTCCATCATAAGGACGTCACCTTCCACCTCTACGTGATTCCCAACGACTGCTCCATTCGCAAGGTGGCACCAAAGCCAGAAAGGCGGGGCCAGGGTCCAGGGTGGGCTGACAGACACATGACTTGCCCCCAGACGTACCCCTTTGGGTCAAAGGGGCAGGAGGATCCACCTCTTCAGCAGGGAGGTCGAAGGAGATGAGCCGTCCTGGCCCTGCTCAGCCATGGACTGGTTTCCGAAGCTCCCCCGGCCGGGTGCACTGCTCCCTCGCTCACCTCTGGACACATCACTCATCACTCACAGCTCACCAGCCTCTTTCCTGGGGTCAGAGGATGGGAGGGTTCCATACCCAGAGCTGATCCCTTTCTTCCACTCTCACTTCTTTCCTAATCCTGCTCAAAACTGGCTGTGAACATGGCAGAGGCAAAGTGTGGGGCTCTCTGTGTAGCCATCGGGGGGAGCGGGTGCGGATAACCAAGGGATCAGAACCCCATGGAGGGTATAGACCCCTCCACACACAGAAACACGTGGAAGCATCACTTCACTTTGCTCAGATCACACTCCTCAGGGCAGAGTCTCTGAGCCAGACCCAGAAGCCCTCCTCCCCTGATCTGTGTTCTGTGTGCCCCTTAGGCCATAGATGATGAAGAAAAGGCATTCCAGTTTGCGCGACTACACAAGCCGCCCCCAACGACACCGCTCTACATGGGCTCCCGATACACTGTGTCTGGTTCACAGGAGATGGAAATTATCCCTCAGGTGAGCAGCCCAGATGTTCCCCCCTCTAATGTCAGAGGTCATACTTGGAAATAGCTGTGGGGCTGGTCTCAGAGTTTTCGGAGGACAGGCCCAACTGGAGTAGAGCTGTCAGCAAGTAGGACTTGGGGTGCGAGGGAAGGCTTCAAGTTTGGCAGAAGGTAAGCTAGTAGGAGGTAGGGTCACATTCAGGAAAGGGATGACACTCGGGTGGACTAGGGGAACTGATGTGTGTTAGGCTCCAGGGTATCGATGTTCTCCAAGCAAAGCCACCAGGACCACACCCATAGCTGAGCACACTGGGGTCAGCATTCATCACAGCCTGAGAACACGCACCAATGAGAACCGGGGGCCTCTCAGGACAAGGGTCTCAGACAGAACCTATTGGTGATTTGGGTTTTTGTTTGGTAACTTGGGGGAAGATCTGAAGAAATGGAGGTTTGCTCTAGATCTGGAGTTGTCAGAAGGCAGTGAGGGTCTGTCGTTGGGAACCTCAGTGACTTTGTCTCCAGGGAGGGCAGGCTCAGCCAGCACCAAGCTATAATTTTGTAAGGAGGAGTCACTAGTGTGGTAAGGCCGTAGGGTAGGGTAGTGTGGTAGGGTGATAGTGTTTGGCATCATGTGGGTTGCACAGCGCCCTGTCTACAAGGGATATTCTGAGATTGTGTATGTCCAACAAGAGGACATCAGGGCAAAGGTGTCAGCACAGGTGCATTTCTAATGACGCTGAGGTCCAGCCGGGAGCATCAGATCAGTGCCTGGACATCAGGGGCTGGCTTTGTCCTCTCTGTCTCCCCTTTCCACCAGGGGTGGACACAGTCAGGCCACTGGACATTCATCCGTGACCTCCACCACGGCCCTGATTATGCTGCTCAGGGTCAGGGCGTCCACTGAAGGACAGTCTGTGGTGGAACCAGGGTCAGTCCTCTTCCCTTCTGTTGCCAGACGAGGCTTTGAACTCTCTTAAGTGACGATGACAGGTGGAACGGATATACAGTACTTAGGAGGAAGTGATATGTGTCTTTTCAGTAGGGACACATGAACCAAGGGATAAATATCTTACACTTTCCTGCTGTGTCAGTTGTTAACACAGGACGAGAGACATGACTCAGTCATTCAACAAACATGCACCCACTGCCAACTGTGCTGTCTTCAGTTGGTACCGTCATAGAACAAGACAGAAATGCCATGCCCTTCAGAAGATGACATATGGTGGTATGAGCTCTATACAAATAAAAAATTTGTGACCAAAAACCATGAAGTGCTGTGAGCAAAGCACAAACCAGGCCGTTTGAGACAATAACTAGGGCTACTTTACGCTGGGTGGTTTGGGGCAGTGTCTCTGAGGAGCCACATTTGAGCTGAGACCTGAATGACAAGAAGGATTCTGGACATTGGAGATTTGTGACAGAGCCCTACAGGAACAGAGGCAGAGAGGAGCAGGCCCCCTTGACACCTCCATGTGACAAAATAGAGGTCAGTGTGGCGGAGATCACTGACTGCTCAAGGGGAGGAGGTAGAAGGGGTCACACAAGAGACAGGTTTCCTGGGGCCCATTGACCACGTTGCCCAGATATGGAGTTTGGATTTTGATCCAAGTGCAATGACCATGTCTTAGAGGGTCTTACTGGCAATACAAGACCTGATTTAGTTTCATGCAGATGCCTCTGGCTGCTGGGGAAAAATGGATGATAAGAAGTTGGGAATGAAAACAGAAAGACAGGTCAAAAGGCTAATGCTATAGCGCAGGCAGGAGCCGATGGAGGCTTGACTAGGAAGGTAGCAGTGGGGATGAAGGTAAGATGACATATTCAGGGATGAGTTGGAGGTAGAGCCAACAGGACTTGGTGTATGGGAGAGAATTGTAGGAGGTGTGGATGGTGGCTAAATCTAGAACAAGAGCTCTCAGGGGGTGGTAGTGCCATTTACTGAGTGTGGGAAATGGGGGAGGGAGTGTGTTTGGAAGACAGTTGGGAATCAAGAATCTGTCTTCAATGTGATTTAGAAAAGGGAATGAATATCAATTTTCTCTTGGTTGAAAGTGGGTCAAGAATAGGATCCATTGAGGAGACAAGCAGTGGGCTGGAGAAATGAGGATTTGGGGTGAAGATGGGGGAGGTGGGTGGGGTGCAGGGAGAGGACTCTGACTCAGGATGTGTGAGCACGACACTGTGGAGGAGCCCTGACTCATTCATGGGGCAGCCAGCTGTGTCCTCTTTCTTCTGGGTCAGAATGTGTGGAAAAGGAGAAAAAGAGCAGAGCCTGAGGTGGAGATTTATTTTAGTACAGGTCATCCAAGGGTCTCCCTGGGGCTGAGGAGGCCCAAGAAGGCTTCAGGTGGGGAGAGACCTCACTTGCAAGATGAATTGTGGCTTCTCACATAATGTCTCCTTCTACAGGAAGTGCAGCTCTGCTATCAGAGTGCTGGAGAAGCCCAGCCCTTCTCTGAACTCTATGTTGGCCGTTTGAGGTCAAAGATCAGGCTGTTCCTTAGACACAAAGAAAAAGGAACTCTGGTATGGGAGGCCTTGGTAACATCAGGTAAAGTCAAGACAAATGCAAGGACTTCAGAAAGTCAATTACTGTGTGTGTGTGTGTGTGTGTGTGTGTGTGTGTGTGTGTGTGTGTGTGTGTGTAAGAGAGAGAGAAAGACTGTCGTATCACAAGTTACTGATGAGAATAGCCCAGAGAAGTTAATTTTTCTAGTTACGTAAGAATTGCATGAACAAAATTTGAGCTCAAGTTCTCAGACTCTAAACTCCATTCCCTCTCCCATGCACTCTCATGTCGCCACACTGCCCTCTGTTAACACAGCTTGACAGCCATAAAACCTCTGGCAAATTTTCTCATAATAGATGGGACCCGAGCTGAAAGAATAAGACCCGGATGATAGTATGATTGTATGAATTAAGACAATTTTGGCAATAGCAATACTCTCCCTGGGTCCTTAAGCTTTCTTCACAGTAGATAAGAATTAAATAATAAATTTGCAGGAATGAATGATACTTTACTGTCTTTTAAATGAGCACTGACTCCCCCAAGAATGTCCCCTAAGCTTTCCTTGAAGGGACAACCAGCACTTGTTTGCCGTGGAAATAAGTTGGATGTGCCTCCTGAGCTGCTACAAGGGCTACCCGGTGGGGAGAGAGGGAGCGGGTTTCCCTGAGTCTCGCTCGGGCCCCGTCACAGGTGTGGACTAACTGGCCCAGCATCAGGCCTGGGTTTAAGTCGCAGTCTCGCGCTTATTGCTGGGTGATTTGGGGGAAATTACTTAACTCATTTGAATGTCTAGTTCCTCATTTATAAAATGAAGACGACAATACCTGACTTGTATTATTGCAGAAAAAATTAAACTAGTGATGTATTGAATGTCATCTCAAGCAGCAATCCTTAGTAAATATAGCAATATTGTAATTTTCTCTCACATCAAACCAGTCTCTTCCTCCCTCAGACTTAATTCTGCTCTCACAGCTGATGGAGACTCCATCTCCATCCCCATAGGAAAGCCTTTCAGACACTTGAAGACTGATTGTGGCCTCCCTTAAGTCTCCTACTATGCAAGTTGAACTCCTCTAGCTACTCCCATCATTCCTTTTATATTTTGCTTTTTAAAAACTTAGCCATGCCACTCACCTTACTCAGCAGATGTGCCCATCTGAGGATGAGCCAGGATGGACTCTAAGGCCGTCCAGTCAGCATGGAGGACAGGGATCTCCCCCTTCCCTCCATCTACATGCACCCGGGTCTCCCAGCACCACAGCAGGAGCTCCCCTGCGCTAGAGCTCACCCCCCACACTCTGTGGTCACGCTGAACTTGGATGAGCCCTAACTCTCAGGCTGTGTTAATAGGAGTTGCTCTGGAATCTCCTTTCTTCTCCATATGCAAGTAATTGAAACCCCCTTCATTCATTGATACTGTTGTTTGTTCTTATCCCATTGAAATTAACCCATTACTCCCAGTGCTAAGATTTTCTCCATCTTGACTCTTGATTCTCACATCAAAATCCAAAATATACAGTATGAGTCTATTGGGTAGGACAGGGGAAGAGTATTTGGAGGAAAATGGGGACTACTGCAACTGAACAACCATACAAAGAAAAAAAATAATAAAGCAGTGTGAGTCTAGAAGGCCAAGGACAAGGAGGTAGACTTCCACTGAGAAAAGAAGATCTCATGGTTGAAGCTATCTACCAAGGACTCGGTTATTTTTCCACCAGGGTTCCATTCAGGCCAAGACTGAATTAAAACATGTCTTCAATGTTGAGGAAGAAATTACTACATCCCTCTCTCTTTCTTTCTCTCTCTTACCTTGGTTTCTGGGCCTCAGTTTCCCCATATGCAGGAAGAATGGAGTCACCTGCAACCATTTCTCTAAATTCTATTAGAATTAGTCTGTAGCTTGTTCAAGGAATCCAAGGATCTGAGAAGTAAGACATGTGTAGCAGTTACAAGGATTATCATTTGTCCTAATAACTAACAGTGTTACTGAACTCTCTTCATATCCATTTTCTTCCAGGAGACCTCAGACCTCCACGCCTCACAGGTGAGTAACAGCTAGTGGAGACCACAGAAGCCGTGGAAGTTCTGGGATGTGCTACCTGCTCCTGAGGGGGATGGAGGGGAGGGAGTAGAGAAAGGAAGAGACTCTATCATTGCAAACTCTACAAGGGATCAGGCCTTGGACAGTGGTGTGTGTCCCCGGAGCTGAGTCCTTCCCCATCCTTCTTATTCTTGCCCGTGGAGACCCTGGCACTTTCCACAGAACAACCCCAAGGGCCTCCTTCATGAACCCAACCCCACACCCAGCTCCAGCAAACTGCTGGCCTGGCAGCTGACATGCAGGGGCGGAGGTATCTCTATGTTTTCACAGGGGCAGGACCCAGGGAGGCAGAAGAGGTGAGTGAAGAGTTAGAGGTGGAGAATCGGAAGTAGCCTCAGTAGTAGGAGCTCTTCTTTATTTGTTACCAACTTTATATTCACCCCCAGGTGCCCCAGGAGATAACCTGCACTTTGTGGACCGGCATCGGGAGCAGCTAGTGACTCGAGTAACGTTGGTGGATCCAGTCCTGGACAAGCTATATAGAAAGATGATAAGTGACGAGCAGTATCAGAAGGTGAGGGCTGAGCGCACCAATCCAGACAAGATGAGGATGCTATTCAGCTTCAGCAACTCTTGGGACAAAACCTGCAAAGATAAACTCTACCAAGCCCTGAGGGAGACCGAACCTTACCTAATTAAGGATATCAGGGAGAGGGGGGACCATGGGGGAGAATGGAGCAGGGACCTGATGTGAGTCCTGACTCTTCCTCACCCCTTTTGGGTCTCAGCTTCTTCACCTCTACACAAGTTGCCCTCTGACTTGCCTCTATTCTGAAGCCATGGAACTTCAGTGATGCCTTTGCTGGGCATTACATGTCCGTGCCCAAAAATGCCCCGCGGGTGCCCAGGCAGCCTCCTTTGGCTTTCACGGGACAGCTGCCCAGCTGGGATGACAGCATCTCAGGGGATGTGCATGTGCAGCTGGCAGGGCGTCTGCAAACCTTGTAGGAGCCTCACCCCAGATCCTTGTCAGTGGCCGCCACAGCCAGGCTTCGAGCCCCCTCTGTGCCATTCAGGTGTGGGGAGGATCAGGGAGAAATGGAACCGGCCACCTCTGCTGGAGACAGACCATGGAAATGGACACCTTGCAGGGTTTAAATGGCTTGTAAAGAGGGGCAAAAACAGATTTATTTTTTACTTGTCAATGTTGAGCTTGGATTTTCTAGTAGCTCAAATGGTGACTTGTGCTTTTTGATATTTAGATGGATTCCTAGAGCCAGGAGAGGGTGAAGTACAAGGCCGCGGGGAGTACCGTCTAGGTCTTAGCTTCGATGACTTCCGCTGGGGCCAGTGAGGCCCTGTCCCGGCAGCTGGATCAGGCACCCCTGCCCTGTGCTCCCGGAGCACCCTGTGTCCCCCCCCATCAGAGCGCTCAGCACAGGGCATGGTCCCTATTGCATTTCTGCTCGTCCCTCCCCACTAGATCGTAAGCATTCAGAGGACAGGAACCATGTCTAAGCAGATTATTGCCAGGGCCTAGGACAGTCCTTTGCACACAGTGGGTTTTTTATTAAGTGGGGGTTTATGAGTAGGTACATGATAGGGGGACATTCCCCAAATACCTCCTTCAATTCCCTTCCTGGCCACCATACTGTCCGTGGAATTCAAAGGCCCACCTCAGTAATAATTCCCCCATTAGCAGGCCACCCCCTTGGCCCAGTTAATCAGTCATCTTAGAGTTAAATCGGTTGGTGCTGAATCATTTGCACTGATGTTGTTCTCCATCGGTGAGAGCAAAGCTCCTCTCAGGTTGCGCCTGCCCAATATACAGCAGCCCAAGTTGATTGTACCTCCCTCCCCACTTTGTCACCCTCCCCCCTTCAGAGTCTCTTCTTCCTGCCATCTACTTGGGTCTCACCCGCTTTCCTTACCCTCCACCGCACAACATAAGGTGTCTCTTCTTTATCCTCCCCAACTCTGATGGCTGTTATAAAGGTTAAATGAGATACATGTAGGACATCCTATGAGTGTTCAGCGCCTAGACAGTATTTAATAAGCGGTAGGTATAATCCTTAGGTTTCACTGCGCACAGGGTAGGGGAGTGGTCAGCATCTCTCAACCTTCCACAACTATACAATAGAGAATTCAGAAGGGGGTAGGGCAAAAATTTCAAAGCATCATCATCATCAGCATCATCAGCATCAATCACAGAAAAGGGAAAACACAACACCTGTCCCGATAGCTTCATACACACCTGCAGAGGCGCCACCTTGTCGACTCTTTGACTTTTTTGCCCAGGCCACATGCTACCACGTGCAACACGTTTAGCTGACTCTGTCGGGACCTTCCTAGGACTCAGGCAGTTCCTGAACTTTGGATCTGAGCTCTTGGAGATGTGCCCTATGAAAGTGGAGTTTGGCGGGACACCTGTACTTTGAAAAGGATGTTCTTTCCCTAAGATTCAAGAAGCTGGGGCTGCTTTCTGGTCCCAGGTAGGATAGGCCTGTGCAGAAAGGGAAATACCATCAGCACTCTCACCCTAAGACTCTGGCGCACCTCCTCCAAGGACAAAAAGGGGGCACAGTGAACTTGCTATTTGAATGTAATCCAGGCCAGCTGCCCGTGAGGACAGTTTCTGTTGAATGTATTCTGAATTTAATGTTCTCAGTGTTATTAAGAGAGAAACAATATGCCAGTATGCCATAGAATTTATTTCTGCACCAAATGGCCAGGGCCCACTGTAAGTCCATGAGGAACAGGAAGAATATTCTCAGGAGAAGCCTCTTTACTCCTGTTGCCTTACACTGGGCATCGCGTTGCACGGGACAGAGCCCATTTATAGGATCTCATTTATTTCATTCTCAAGGTCCAATCCAGATCCTCACACAGGGAGCTCCGCCCTCTCCTCAGGAAGCTAATGGTGAGGCCTGGTAGCTCAGGGCCTGTCCCAGGCACTGTCCTCCAGGTTTTAACTCCCTGCTCGGGCCGTGACGGTTGCTGGGGCCACAGGTCAGAGGGTCACTGCCGGCGAAGTGTCTGGGGACAGCCTCCCCCACCTGCCATGTCACCTCTAAGTACGCCAGGTCGGTAAGAAGCGAGAATTCCTTCACAGTGGATTGAGGGAGACAGAGACAAAGGAGGTAGGTGAACAGCTGAGCAACTAAAGCCAGATGAGGGGTCAAAAGTCCCTCTCCTCCCACACCAGACCCTGCGAAGCGGATGGTTCACACCTCTCCTCCTCAACCAGACTGCGGGTAGCTTCAATCACCCAAGTCAGGGACATAGATGACAGAGACCCAGCTTGTGCCACTAGTGTCAGACAAGTCCAAAAGAATGAGGTCACAGGAACCAAAAAACAAGAAATCCCATCAGCGCCAGACAAATACAAGATCGAGGAGAAGCTGACCAGCGAATGATCCCGAACCCCACTACCCCTCACCTTGATGCATCAGCCTATTAGAGGACACACCTGGAAGCTCAAGAACATTCTGATTAAGACCTCCCCTAAAATTTCCTCCTGCAGAAAACAGACACAAACCCTCCGGACAAAAGACCTAGTGTGCAAACTTCACCCCTCCCTCCGTCCCGCACCCTGCTTTTCTCAGGCATGTAATTTTACTTTCTCTCTCCTAAGTTCCCAGGGTCCTCCTCTCGCCTAACTTTTCAGGGAGCAAAAGCAGCCCCGCCTCGGCTCCACGCTGCTGCTGGGACTGCCTTCCCTGAGTCCAGGCGGCCCAGCCCAGGCTCACTTCTGTTACTGTGTCCTGCTTCTTCCGTCATGGGCCCTCCCTTGATTCTCTGTCCCAAGCTTTACTAAACATGTTCTCAGAACCACCTGAGCTCCTGTCTTGAGACTGTCCTGCACAAAGTCAAGACCACCTTCCAAGCTGTGCCGAACAGACCTGCCCCGGCCCGGTCCCAGTTCATTTTTGGTGAACTGAGACGGGCCACACTTTTAGCCCTGGAGGGAGTGGCTCAGGGAATTGAATGCCAGCCTGCAAACCAAAGGGTCACTGGTTCAACTCTCAGTCAGAGCACATTCCTGGGTTGTCGGCCAGGTCCCCAGTGGGGACGGGGCGGCTTCAGAGGCAACCATGTTGATGTTTGTCTCCCTCTCTTTCTTTTTTCCTTCTGTCTCTAAAAATAAACAAATAAAATATGACACGAGGAGGCGGGGAAAAAGAAGAAGAAGAAGAAGAAGAAGGAACAAAATGAAATTCCCGACTTTTGGGACAACCCAAATTGCCCTCAACAGTTGCTGAGGGTACGAGGACATTTCCAGCAGCCCCAGAATGTGTTCAGGCGGCGAGAGAACACAGGCACCTGTGAGGCTGAAACCGGACAGGCACGAACACTGAAGTCACAGTCTGCCAGTGCGGCCACCCATCCCTGTCCTGTTCTCTAAGTCTTACATGTATGAGTTACTTAACCCTAATGACAAGTCTGGATAGTCTTGTTCTCCACAGAAACAGATCCCATAGGATGTGCGTATGCACAGAGGGAGAGAGAGTGTAAGGCGTTGGCTCACACGACCACGGGGGCTGGCAGGCCCACCATCGGCGGGTGGGCTGGTGGACGAGACCCAGGGCGGCGCTGGCACAGCCGTCTGCCGGCAGGGCTCCCGGCGGCTCAGGGGGGTCGGGCTTTCCTCCTGTTCCGGCCATCAGGTGATTACAGGAGGCCGGCCACGCTCTACTAAGCCCAATGTTACACATTTAAATGCTCATGGCATCTAAAAACACCCTCACAGAAACATCCAGAGTAAAGTCTGACCCACTATCCGAGCACTGTGGCCCAGTCCAGCTGACATAAAATTAACCATCACAAGCACCGTGACGACAGATACTACTATCATCCTCCTGCTGCAAATAAATGGAGGCAGAAAGGCGGTAAGCGATGTCCCTGAACTCTCACAGAAACCAAGGGGTGGACTTGGAGCCCACCCCCTGGCAGCTGGCTCCAGAGTCAGCCTCCTGCCACGCCCAGGCCTCGGGGAGAAACCGGGCTCCCCGGCATGGAGAACAGGGAGAGGCACGTCCACCGCAGAGGCCTCTGGGGCTGGTGCGGCCCTGCTCCCTGCGGGCCCAGCAGGGAGCTCTGAACTAGGTCACTGTCTCTCACTCTCAGACAAGCTGTGACGGCCTCCCACGGGTGGGACGCAGCCAGTGGCTGTTTCCAGGTTCTGTACTCTGCACCCTTGGGAGCATCGGTGCCAATGTCTTACACCAGCGCCCGACAAAGATGACATTAGTGTTGGGACCAGACGCCCCTATCCCACAGCGGGGGGACCCAGGTCCGCCTGCCCCCAATCACCCACCCCCAGGTCCCCTGACACTGGGCCCGTCCACTCCCTTCGGAGGAGCCGCTCCCTCACCTCTGCCCGCAGGAGCTCAGTGTCTGGGGACCCGGTCCCTTCAGCAGAGGCTTTCACTGTTTGCTGTCCTGCACGACGGGAGCAGGCTGGGTTAGGCCCCGGCATCTTGGAAACGCCGCGCCTGAGGGAAGCCTGGCTCTGAGGGCGGCGAGGGTGACGCCTGCGTGCGGTCAGGCGGTGCGTGCGCGCGCGGTGCGCGGCCAGGACGGCGCGCGGCGGGCGCCTCCTGAGCGGCCCGCCTGCCCTCCCCCCTTTTTCAGGACGGCCCCCCACGCCCCCACAGGCCGAATGGCACAGGAACAGCCATGTTTACACAACGGACCCTTTTCCCCAACCGCGGAGAGGTGAGCGGGCCACGTCCTGGGAAGGACAGAGAGAGCCGGCCTGGAGGGGCCGGGCACGGAGCCCGCCGGTGGGGAAGGGAAGCGGCGGTGAAGGACGGAGACCGTGGGCAGCGAGAACGCCCGTCTTCCGGTCCCTGCGTCCCCGGCGTCGCCAAAGCCGCGTTCATCTGTGCCCTTGACTGCGTGGACATTCTGCTGCCTTTTCATTGTCGCCTTTTTTGCCTAAGCTCATTCTGGTATCTTTTCTGGTATTTGCAAACAGGGGTCCAAAACAACCCCACAGCCCTCGA